ACACACACACACACACACACACACACACACACACACACACACACACACCTCACTTTTCCGGCTAGTGTCATCACTGCCCACCTTTTTATCTAGCCTTTCATTGATAAATAAATGTTTTTTCCCAGCATCTTTGCGCATCGCGAGTGCCTTTTCCTTTTTACGGAGAAGCTCCTCATGCTCCTTCAACATCCACTCTGGAGGCCCTCGCCTCTCCTGCACCCTTGTCCACTGGCCCCAACCTGGGATGTGAACAGGCCCTTCGCCCAGGGGAACTTCCTCATCAACCTGCACAGACATGAACGACATTCCATCAATCAATCATTATAGTGTTAGCTCAACTTAACTGTCTTCATCAGACCATCACAGCTGTGCGCTGCTGGACCTGCTATTCAAGAACCACTGATCCACATACAATGGGTCCATAAGGAAAGCCTAGTTCCATAACCAACTGCTAAATAGTAAATACGAACGATAAAGTCTGCATGGATCTCGATACCAACACCTTTCAACTTTAAAGGAAAGCCAAACAGCCAAACAAACAAACAAACAAACAAACAAACAAACATATTTATCCTGTCCCAAATACTAAATATTAAATAAATATAGCAAAGACGGAACGAAAGAGGTGAAAATTGATTGGCAACGGTCAAAGGAGCATGGCAGCAAGTAGACAGGAAAGGGGGAAAAAAAAAAAAAAAAAAAAAAAGAAAGACCAGGTCAAAGGGGGCTGATCCTCTGTCCCTTCTGTCTCTCCCCCCTTTCTTCAGTCGTAAAAATATGCTTGCCGGTGATAAGCAGCCGGAGGACCGAGGACCCCCAGAATAGAAGGGGGGTGTGTTTTTCAACAAAACAAAACAAAGTGGTCTTCATCAAACCACTTGGTAGACATCGGTTGACATGTTCCTTACCCAGTAGATTCTCTCGCTGGCCATGAGAGAAGCTAGACATGTCTTCCTTGAAAAGTTAGAAGTTAAAACCTTAAATCACCACTACCTTACCCAGTCAATCTCATCTTGAGAATCCAAAATGTATAACATTCTGGGTTCTTCGGACGAACCGTGGTACACGACCACACTTCATTCCGCTGATTAGTCGACGCCACGGTGCCTGGCGGCACCCGCCGATCGAAAATGAAAAAGCACTGCGCACGCGCTTCGGCAAAGCTCGGCGCACCGTTCTTTTCCGCCTCGGCAAAAAGAGGCTCGGAGGTGGCAGTGGGGTTTAGTACCTTCCCATTCGATCCCAAATAAAATTATCCAGGTTGAGGATGAACCTTTGGAGCAGCAAAAGTGGACGATAACTTCAACATCGCTCTACATGTGAGAGGAGAGTCAAATAACTTCCGAACCGCAGGTGGGCCTCGTGCTGCAGAAAACATTCTCAGCCTATTTCTCAGTACATTCCCAATGTGCACATCCTGTTTTTCAAGTTTTTATTGTTGCATTTTTCTTTTTGTTTTGTTTTATGCGAGGAATGAACCCTCGTGGGGCCCTTGTCAAGCATGCACATGTTCTGGGCAGAGGCCCCCAGCAAGCCAAGTGCCCACCCTAAGTGAAGGCGGGCCTGAATATTCACTGAAGGCCAAAATTCGACATTTTTGCATATGTGGGTATTCAGGCTGTTGCAGCCCGCCAGTTGGTTGAGTGGACACATGAACCTCCCTAAGCTGCGTCGTACAGTTTGGCCCAGGCCTTGGCTGTTGCGCCTGGGCACATACACACAATGCAGGGCTGATACATAACGAAGTGGCCACAGGCCAGAACTGTCGACGTACATACCCCGGGTCCTGTGCAAATGCAGCAAACGGCCCAAGTCTGGAGACTCAGGCCGTGCCCAACTGTAAAGGACCCAGGCCCTCAACTGTAGCACTGGGCCTGGGCGCAGGCACTGGGGCCCGACCGGAAGCTACTGGAAGCTTCCAGCCAGGCCACACGCAGCCAAGCAGAGGTTTCCACTTCCATATAGGAAGGAAGGCAGCCAGGGTCTGGCATTCTGGCCCACACAGGCAATGCGGTCACGCTGCTGCATTAGAGGCTGCGTGCTGTGCTGAGGCCAGAGCACGTGCGGGCGCGTGTGAGGTGAAGAGGGGTGCTGCTGGGCAGTGGAGCGCGAGCAGCCATAGCCGGGCTGCAGGGCGCTAGGGGGTGAGAGGGCGATCGGTGGTCTTCAGGAAGGAGGCGAGTGTGGGTGGTCAGGGTTTGATGAGGGGAGACGAGATACGTATGCAATGACTTGCTGATTTGACTGCTGGGTTTTGACTGTGAGGACGTACAGTACAGCGATAGGGATAGATTTGTAATTTTGTTTGGCTGAGGGCTAACCGAGAGACCTGTCTGTAAGGAAAATCCGTGAGGGACATATCTGCAAATTTGGGAAAATATAGGCCCGTACTAATTAAGACTTCCTACAACACCCTAACTGCGAATAGCAGGCCCGGGCTACCCCTTGGGACGGACAGGCCCTAACGGCCTATGCCAATAGACGGTCCTATAGCCTATAGCCGGGTCGGGAGAGGCCCTAGAGGCCGAAACTGGGAAGGTACCGGTGGGTCCAGTCGGTCTGGTCTAGGTCGTGTCTAGGCTAGTGTAGTCTATTAATAGATTGCGGAAGTCTGTTGGGGACCTTTTTTTGGCAGTTTCATTTTTCGTTGGATACGGAAGTTGAGCCAAGGAAGGAGGAAGGTGACGATTGACTGCGGGCGGCATCCTGAGTCTCTCGTTGTGGAAGACAGCCATAGCCAGACTTCTGGGCCCCGCCATAGCTGGGGCGCCCTCCACGCACTCACCCCTGAAGGTGCTTGCGATTGTCTGGGCTATTAGGAGGCTCTACGGAGCGGTTTGTGGGTGACCTACTGCTGCTGCTACTTCTTCTGTGATCGCTGTGGCAGGAACAGTGGCGTTGCAGCCATAGCTGCACCTTTGATGTCAGAGACTCTTCATCGGCATCAGGAACCTGAGCGCCGGTCTTCTTCCTCATCAGGCTGGTTGGCACTGCCCTCTGAGAGTCGGTTTCAGAGTGGCGCCACTAACAGGGTGTAGGAGTTAGGGTGGAGCGCGAGTTTCGGTGGTGGCGATAAACCGGGAGAGAACTCTGTAACATACAGTGTTAATATTGGCTCAAACTTGGTTAAGTTCTGTTGTTATCCTCGAAGTGTCATCTTATGATTGGTTGTTGGGAGTGTCGTCGGAGGGAGAGAAACACTGTGTGTTGTCTCCACACTTTGTGCACAATTGTTTCCGCTGCTTACCTTGTCTGTGTGTAGTGTGTACTCTGTCTCCTCTCCCCTTCTTCTTATGCGTGTATGGGCATGTATGAGATCATCTGAGTGTGAGTGTTGATTGAAATCGACAGAATCGAAGTCATAACACGTACCTGGTACATGAAGAGAGGTCGGCTATGGTGTTGACGTCATGTACATTGGTCTTCAAGAGTCGAAGTGAGCCTGTTGCGTGAATACTGATGTAGGTAGGATAGGCGAGTAGTGTGGGCTGGCGCCGGGCGCCAGACAGAGAGGAGCGACTTTGGATACTGTGTTGGTGGGGCCTGAGGGCTTGAACATTGGCTCATTACTTCATTGTATTGCTCTTATTTGGATGGAGTCTCGGTGCATTTGTGCTCTCTGCTTGTACACGACTACTTGGACATCTGTGTGATTTCGCAACTTGGCTTTCTCAAGTTTCTGTATATCGTTCCCACTCATATTCCTTGCATTTATAAACTTTATTTATTTTATTGTAGTTATCAAATTCCATTGGGATTCAAACTCATGGTATGTTCATTACCAGTTGCACCCATGTACCATTTAGCCACACAGGTCCAGTATCGGCTTTCTTATTTTTTCTCCTTGTGTTTTTTCCTTGTTCTTTTCTTTTTGTTTCTGTCGTTTGGACGGCTGATTCATAAATAACTTCTTTGCACATTTCCTTCCCCGCCATCTACTCAAGAGTCAAGACCAATATAGACTTAACCATTAGCCGTAAAAAATATGTGCGCAGCATGTTTTTCACATCTTTGATCATACAGACTATATCACGGTAGAATCACAGATATAATTATTTGACTTATATGAAGTTATATCCCAATCAGCTACCTTTGCTGGAATCATGGAGAGTGTAACAGCATTATTAAGAAAAGAACTGAGGAAAAGAGCAAAACTAGTCAACTACCTTCAGACAGAAAAAGAGTCACTGTTATTTTGCAGACAAGACACCAAATCCCTAGTTCTGAACCTAACCTTCTTCATGAAGGTCGGAGACTCCGGCACAAACTGTATTAGAGGGGAAAAAAGGGCTAAATAGTGAACACACAAACCTAACTGAGATTCTATTGCACTGCAACCCTATGGACTGGGGTTATCACAGCCCCACATAAGCAACCACAATGGACATCAGCATTTCCTCCTCCTCCTCCTCCTCCTCCTCCTCCATGCACCCCTCAACCAAGAGGTGGGTGGTAAATGCCGCTGGCTATGTTGTTGGGATGCACAGCTACTGGGGGACAAAGTGTCGGAGGCGATATCCCATTTTCAGTACAGGGATCTTCAGCAATAGCATTTCCTTTATTTCCGTGGCCGCCTTCTTCTCTTCCCTTCATTCTCTTTTTTTCCCTCTTCTTTCTTTTTTTTTTTCGGAAAGGGCAACGGCCTTGAGATATTATCATCGAACTGACCGGCCCAAGGTAATCCAGAATTACTGTAGTAAGTATTTCATTCATCTGCTTCCAGCGGAGTTCGAACTCGGGGCTGTATTTCACCAGTTATTACAGTTAAGGGGTGGGTGTTCCAACTGAGCTAGGTGGTCTAGGCCTAGTTGGTAGCAATAGCATTTCGACATAATTTCAATCAGCGTAGTCACATACCGCTTGCATCTTCAGCTCGTCAAATTCCGCTTGCACGTCATCGCCTGCAAAAGCACGACGGATCAAATCCCTCTGGGACCCAAGGGCTCCTCCTCCTTCATCAAGATCCTCTTCCTCTCCTTCACCCTCCTCACTGCCCTCACTCCCTTCCTCCGCTACTACTTTGATGGCTTCGGCTACTGCATGACCGTCAACTTCTTTCTTCCCTTTGCTCGCCTTTCTCTTTCTCTTCCTTTTCTTCCCCCCATCCTCTCCCTTTGCTGCCGCTGTGTGGTCGTCTGACTTCTCGCTCAGCACAGCCACCTTTGCTTGACTATGCACAAGCATCACAGCCAAGTCCACATTCGCTGCACCAGCACCCTGCTTCACTGAACCTCGTGTCATCTGAGGAGGACGAGCATTAGCATTCCGTGTGTTCTCGGCACTGGAGCCGCCGGATGTATTAGCTGCAGCTGCTGCTGTATTCGCCACCACACCTCGAAGCTCAGTACCTTCTCCAAGTACGCCCTCTGCATTCTTGCCCTTTTTTGTCTTTTTCTTCTTCTTGCTCTTCTTCTTCTTCTCCTCCTCCTCCTCCCCTTCTCTTCCCTCCTGCTTCTCTTGCTTCGCCGTTGTTGGCCCCCACGTAGTCGCTGACTGGCCTATACGTTGCACAGGATCTCCATCTGGAAGCTCAGAACTTGCCAGTAGCACCTTTGCATTCTTGCCCCTCTTCTTCTTCTTCTTCTTCTTGTCGCCTTCTCTTCCCTCGTGTGTCCCTTGCGTCAACACATCTGCTGTTGGCCCCTGCCTAGTCGCAAACTGCCCGCCTATACGTTCAGCAGAACCCCCTGCCCTACCGATCTGCAAACACAGCAACCACCATTGGCAAGCATTGTAAGGAAACAGCACAAGATACTGTCAGCTCAGAAAATGATGACAGGGGGGAAAGGATCACCCCTCTTATCAAAACCCTCTTAAGCCACCACTACCTTTCAGGTGACAAAAATGGCGTCGCGCAGCCATTTTGGTCAAGGTAGCACTGTTTATCCGAAACTCGTGCATGTAAACCAATTCGTCGCAAAAGATTCGGATAAACAGTGCTACCTGACCAAAATTTCGGATAAACAGTGCACCCTCTTAAAATGGTGAGTGGTGCTGCAAGGGCCATTACCTGCAAAAGGGACCTAGTAATAGGAAAGCACTGACAATCTCCTGTTTGCAACTTACAAACACGTGTGGTATTGTCAGGTCCAGGCGCCCAGCTGGTTTACCATATCTAGCATATATAGCTACAATCTTAGAAGATTGTGTGTGGTCTGCAAAACCACGATTTGGAAAAGTTCAAGTCCAAAGATCCAATATTAAATTCCCCCTACCGTCTTCACCCGAATAGAACGCCCGGTCATTATCGCTGCATCGGGGCCCAAAGTTGTGACAAATACAGCTATAATGACTGGGCGTTCTATTCGGGTGAAGACGGTAGGCGGGAGTTGTCTCTATGCCGTAGAATGAAATCTGCGTTGCACAGGTACAGAGAAAGAAGATTAGCATGGGCCCTGAGCAAGAATGACACACATAAATACAGAAATGGTCCAAATTCAGATTAATAAAAATAGAAAAGAAAAGACAGACGAACAGCAGAAGACAAAAACCAGGTGCTGAATGAAAACTCAGAACAAAGATCATCCACACACTGATGTGAGAGAACAACAGGGCGAACTACAGTCTTCACCCGAATAGATTGCCCGGTCATTATAGCTCAATTTTGACCAACTTTCAGTCCACATACAGTTATAGAGACCAGGCGTTCGATTCGGGTGAAGACAGTAGGTAAATACTAAATTCTTACACAGCAAGGGCAAAAGAGGACATGGTGATAGGGAAAAAACGACCAAGCTCCGGTGAAGTTCACCGTGCCTTATTCTTTCCGTGTGCGTGTCTATTCACCCAGTTCATGCATGAGGTCATTGAGAAGATAAATTACTAATTAGTATCACATTACGTCGCAGTACAGACTTCAGACAGCTATTTGACGAGTGTCACTGAGTAAACAAATGTCCAGATACTTTGTTACCTATTCATTTATGTTGTTATTCCCCTGAGTTACTTCATTAACCTACCCTGCTTTCACACAGCACCCACTTCAAGCAACATAAAGCAGATATCATGGGTATACAGTCAAGCTTGTGTCATTTGCTCACTCATGTGCCTTCATAATTCTTGGCTTGAGCATAGCACATTGGGCTGGTGCAAACGTACTGCCATCCAACAGGCACCCTCTAACAATTGGATGAACACTGTGCGTCAGCCATCCCAGAGCTAGCTTTCTATTCACCTCAGTGAGGAGAAGCCTCACAAGGTTGAAGTACAGATTTCACAATGCTATTCAAATGTCTACCATCTCTACCATCTCTCTCTCTCTCTCTCTCTCTCTCTCTCTCTCTCTCTCTCTCTCTCTCTCTCTCTCTCTCTCTCTCTCTCTCTTTTCCGCGCGTGTATGCGTACGCTCACTGTGTGTGTGTGTGTGTGTGTGTGCGTGTGCGTGTGCGTGTGTGCGTGTGTGTGTTATAAATTGTCATCACAACACCGCTTTTCCAGCCAGATGAGTAGATCGGAAATTGATGCACTTTTACCTCTGTAGCAGATAATGCACTGAGGCAGGCACACTAAAGATGAGCAAAATTCAGCAAATCCAAAATTGAAACAGTTTTTACCTGTTTACTTTAGTACAACATGAAGTACGATAAAATTGAACAAATCCGTTTTAATGCCTCTTCCTTGTACAGTCCTTTCTTTGCTGCTAATTTGGCTTCCTTTGGGGTACTCTGCGTGATATAGAGAGAGACACAGGGAGAGAGAGGATCTCCTTGAGAGCAGACGAACCTGCTGCTGTTGAGTTCGGGTATCACCCTCACTAGTTCCAGCTCCATCATTGGACCGTGCTCTTCCATCTGCTATGTCCTGCCTGTTTGTCTCGTCCTTCCGTTCAATTCCAAGCTCTGCAACATCGCCTTCATCAGACATGCCCTCGTCGTCCAATCTGGCTCGACGGCGAATACGGTCATCATCATCATCATCACTGTTGTATATCAACCCCTCGTCATCTTCCTCGTCGTAGTCATCTTCCCCACGTCTCCGTCTTCGACTTTTGTCATTTGCTTTGTTCGCTTGCTCTGCCATGTCTCCAAACGCCAGCCTCCCTCGTACAGGACCAGCATTCTCGTCGTCCTCCCCGTCATCCATCAGTGCATCGGGCGCACCATCTTGAGCGGACTCCCTTCCAGCTGCGATTTTACTCTCCAACTCCTTCAGCAAGGCCATGGCTTCCTCCTCAGCTTCCTTCTTCCTCTTTTCAATTGCACGTTTCTGTCAACAGAAAACCGAACCACCACTCGCTCTCGTGAGAGTCGCGTCATTGTGACAAAAAGCAACAAACCTGTTTCATTATGTGTAACACATTTGTGACACACAGTAAATAAGACAGCAATATCCTGGCCATGGCGGTCATTGCTTGAAGCCTTTTGGCTGTTCCAGACGTCCTCTCACCAAGCAAGGGACAAACATAACTGTCACCGAACACAATAACGGTTTACAGAGCATGCCACTAGATAGAAATAAAATGCAAAAGTTGTCGGTTTTATGTTCCCTCTTGTAGCAATGGGACATCGAACGCAAACAAACAAACAAAAAAATGAACTAACGAACGAAAGAATGAACAAACGAAAGAACGAACGAAAGAACGAAAGAACGAACCAACGAACGAACGAACGACTGTACAAAACGAACGACCGAACGAACGAGTGAGCGAACGAGCGAGCGAATGAACGCGCGAACGAGCGAGCGAACGAACGAGCGAACAAACAAACAAACAAACAAACAAACAAACAAACAAACAAACGAATGAACGAACGAACAAACGAACAGGAACGAAACGAAACAAAACGAACAAACGACCAAATAAACAGACAGACAGAAATTCCAGAGTAGCAAACAGGGCAATACGAATGTGGATTTGACTGTTGCAAGAGCCTGTCTCAGAAAGAATTAAATTAAATTAAATCACTAATAATAGTTACAAAGAACTGCTACCACCTCTGACACCCCGTGACAGAAAAACATGCTAACCAGTGTCAGCAACCTGGATGAAGACCTTACATGCTAGCCACTGTCTGCAACTTGGATCCTTGCATTGCAGCTGAATAGTCTATCTTTCCTTGCAAAGACAGTGCTGTACTATGCAGTACCATGCACACAGGAGGGTAACTCACCATGAATGGCAGGGCGAAGAGGCCAGTGCTGGGAGCATCTTCAAGTTTCCCTTCCTCCAGATCCTTGAGAAGCATTGCGCGGCCTTTCGCTGCCGCTTTTATCCTTGCCCTTGAGCTTGCCGCGGCAGCCCCTGCTTCGCCTCCCTCAGTACCACCACCACCACCACCCTCCTCCTCGCTCGACGTCGCATCGCTGCTGTCCTCGAGGTCGCTGCTATCTTCATCTTTCCTTGACGATGCGATCTTCCTTGTGAGCATCTGGTGCATGCGCAGCTGCTCTGCAATTGCATCCCGTGTGCCGTCGTCATTGTGGGCATGCAGCCCTCTCTTGATGATACGACGTGCCCATTTTGACGTGTTCTTGTGCTTCAGCCTGAGTCGTTCCTCTGCCCGCATCCTCTCCCGCTTCATTTCTTCCTCCCTCGCGGCTTCTGGGTCCATCTCCTCAACAGCCATCTTCATTTTTTCAGCTCTCTTGGCCTGCAAGACAGAACACGTATAATGAAGCTAGTCAGGAGCAGTCCCTCCTATTGATAGAGATGACTGCTGCAAATATAGATCAAACAGTTGTTCCTCCATGCAAATCCCCAAAAGAATAGGGCACCTATTCACCACAAGGATAGGACAAGCTGTAGTTTAACAACCGCCGCAACCCCCTCTCTACCTCTGAAAATCAGGCCTACCCCGCCCCATTTGGACAGAACAAAAGGCTGCGGCTGTCGCATCGTCGGACTCTGCGCATGTTTTCTTTCATCTGTTTTGCGTTTTTGTTTGGGTTTCCCACTCAAGCTTCGTGGCCGCGAATCCATTAGTATGTGTTTGTTGGGCCTTATGGCGACACGATAACAACCATAAGACAAAGAATTTCGAAATTTGATTGAATTGATGATTCACTCACTGAGCTAGTGCGCTTTTTTCCGATTTATTCGATTCCAAATATGACATGTTTTKTTTTTTTTTTTTGCCTTGTTTCTCGAATATAATTTCATTTCGATACCASTTGTGTCGATCGAGCGGGCCAACCGAAAAGTGAGAGACGAGCGACATTGTTAACCACAGCAGTTGTAAAGAGTACCTTCTTCCCCCAAATACAATGCACGGTCATTATAGCTGTATTTGGGTTATCTTTCAGTCTAAAAACAGCTATGATGACCGTACGTTGTATTCGGGGGAAGAAGGTACTCGTGTACCTCCACAGTGGTGAAGGTAGTGGTGTAGTGGTGTACCTCCACTCTGGTGGTTAAGGGTAGTGGCTGTCTCTTATACACATCTAGATGTGTATAAGAGACAGACATTGTTAACCACAGCAGTTGTAAAGAGTACCTTCTTCCCCCAAATACAATGCACGGTCATTATAGCTGTATTTGGGTTATCTTTCAGTCTAAAAACAGCTATGATGACCGTACGTTGTATTCGGGGGAAGAAGGTACTCGTGTACCTCCACAGTGGTGAAGGTAGTGGTGTAGTGGTGTACCTCCACTCTGGTGGTTAAGGGTAGTGGTGTACGTTCAACCCCCCAGTGGTTAGAAGGGTAGCCGTGTACTTCTAGACCGGGCACCTCCCAAGTGTTTTCCGCAAGCAATCTGGCCCACCTTAGGTGGCAAGCTGAAGCCTGGTCGGAAAAGCCGGCGGCCTATCAAAGAGACCGGTGAGGGGAGAGAGACAAGCGACAGGGAGCCCTCCGTTCAGAAGAGGAATGGGCTAAGAACTGAGCTAAAGAAAAGAAAGCGGAGGAGGAGGAGGAGGAGGAGGAGGAGGAAGAGGAGGTAGAGGAGGAGGAGGAGGAAGAGGAGGTAGAGGAGGAAGAGCAGGAGGATGAGAAACGGTAGGAGGAGGAGGAGGTGCGGCAGGGAGCAACAAGAAGCACGGAGGGGAGGGAAACGAGAAGGGAAAAGAAACAGATGAGGGAGGGAGGGAGGGAGGCGGAGGAAGGTAGACGGAAGGGTTTTAGACGATGACGAAGAAACAAAAGAAGGCAAAAGCAAAGGAGAGGGGGGAGAGAGAAAGCTGCGAGGAACATCAAGATCGAGTTAAACATGTAGAGAGGGAGGGAGGGAGAGAACATAAGTGCGAAGTGAGAAGGAAAGTGAACCAAAAGGGGTCTAGATGGGGGGAGGAGGACATGTTTGTTCCTCACAAGGCAAGGCTAGCATATACACGTCGAGGCAGTACGACAGGACCGATATACAAGATTGGAATGCACGCACTGTTTTCACTTCTGCACGCTCCCCACCCCACCCCCCTCCAAAAAAAAGAAAATCAAAACATACACTGTTGTCACTTCTGCATGCATGCTTTTCCCAACAATCAAAACATGCACAACTGTTTTCACTTCTGTATGCACGCTTTCCCCCCCCAACCAAAAGATGCACTGATCGAACTCCTGCATGCTTCCCCACCAATCAAAACATGCACTGTTTTCACTTCCACATGCTTTACCCACCAATCAAACCTGCATTGTTTTCACTTCAGCATGCTTCTTCTCCCCCAATCAGAACCTGCACTGTTTTCACTTCTGCATGCTTTCCCCACCTATCAGAACACGCACTGTTGTCACTTCTGCATGCTGATTTCCCACCCATCACAACATGCACTCCTGGTTGCACTTCTGCATGCATGCATGCATGCATGCATGCATGCTTTTCCCCCCATTCAAAACATGCAACTAGTGTTCTCACTTCTGGATGCTGCTTCCCCACCAATCAAACATGCACTACTGTTTTCACTTTTGTATGCATGCTTGTCTCCCCCCCGCTTCCCCCACACCCCCCAATCATATACCTCCTCCTTGAGCTTGATGCGGTGATAAGTCTTGCTCTTGATCTTCTTCATTCTCCGTGCCTTAGCCTCATGCTGGAACAGCAAGCTCCTCATCTTTGCCAGTCTCTCCTTCCGTTCTCGAACCTGTCAAACAGAGAGATAAATAACATGAATTAGACACATCCTTCCCCCCACAATGAAATAAACCAGCTCTGGACATAACTGTGGTCAGATACATCCACAGTCAGCCGTAATTGCAGTCAGATACATCTAGGGATTTTTTTGCAAAAGCCACCTTGGCACAGAGGGGTAGTACATGCATCGTTATCAGCAATTGGAGATTCACAACTGCATGCTGCAGCACACTAGCACTTCTGCGACTCAGCTCTGGACATAATTGTGGTCAGATACATCCAGAGTCCGACCGTAATTGCGGTCAGATACATCTAGAAAAGTCCTATGGTAGTGTTGAGTATGCCCCCTAAGCTGCAAATGGACCCTACCGTCTTCCCCCGAATAAAACGCCCAGTCATTATCGCTGCACAAATAAGTGTTTACCATTCTCAGTCCGATTTTCACAAAAACGAACTTGCCAACGCCAATCAGATACCTGCCCATACTCACACCACCTTCTTCACCCAAATACAACGTACCGTCATTACAGCTGTACTTGTGGTATGTTTCCGTCTACATACAGCAATAATGACCATACGTTCTATCCATTCGGATGAAGGCAGGCCATAACTGCGGTCAGAATCATCCAGAACAGATCTTATGTGTACAATACGTACAATATGCCGCGATCGCCGCCACCACCAAAACTTGTGGCCGTATCTACGGAGGCCGTGCTTTTGATGTCCTGGCCTGCCTGCAGCCAGTCCAATAAGTACTCGATACATGGACGGAGGCCGCGCTTTTTCTTTTTTCGGAGCGCCACCGAAACTTGTGTCCGTGGCCGTGCACACAGAAGCTGCACTTTTTTCTTTTGTCAGAGCGCAACAGGAAACCTATTGGCACTGGTGGTTTCAAGCATATCATGCAATCTCTCTGCTCAATCAGATCATTTGTTCCTTCTTACAAATGATAATACCACGACTCATCAGATCCGTGTCTGACAAAACCAAACTCAACTCACAGGTTTCATAAAGCCACAGATTTTATGCGAGGCTCAAGGCCTCGGCGGTGCCAGCGGGGGCCAGCGGGGGCCAGCGGCGGCGATTTGCCCCTGCCCGAAGCGAAGGCTGGCTGTAAGCAGTACCTGCCACGGGATATGGAAGCTGGTGGAAGCTGTTTTGGAAGCTTCCTGTGCTGCAAGGAAGGCCCACGCCATGGGGCCGCGGCCTCCCCAGGTCGACAAAAACATTGGAGGCCACTGCATTCGGTCATTCGACGCTTCAGAGAATTGCACTGGCTAAAAGCACTAAAGGTAGCACCGCAGAACTTGCCTGGGCCCTGGGTTGACGATGAAGGAGAGAACCGGGGCGGTCAAGCGGCTCTCCCTGTTGCAGCCATAGCTGCTCAGGAGGTAGAAGAGCTGTGCAGGGGATTGGGAGGACGATGGGAAGAGGAACAACGACAATGTGCAGTGGGAATAATCTGATGGCGGCCAACTGGCACTGTTAGGGGAGAAAAACGAGCGGAGACAGTATGAGAGAAGAGTGTGTGTGTGTGTGTGTGTGTGTGTGTGTGTGTGTGTGTGTGTGTGTGTGTGTGTGAGAGAGAGAGAGAGAGAGAGAGAGAGAGAGAGAGAGGTTGACGTAGGAAGTAATCGAGTAAGACAGGAAGTGGAATAGCCGGTCACATCTGAGGGAGCAGCTATATTGTGGTGGTGATTTCGATAGTTGGAGGCGAGGGAGACGTCTGGCTTTCTCTATCGAGATGCTCCAGCATGCATAATTGTGCTCTCGTTCGGTGCGATTTCGGCTTGTAATCTGCTTTATAAATTGCTCTTATATGCTTGCTGCAGTGCCTTTTCCTGCGACGGAAAATTTCGACGTTCAACGCCCAGGTGCCTTGCATTTATAAAGCCACAGATTTTATAAAGCATCATCAGATTTCGTGACGCCACAGATTTTAACCCCTTAAAAATTTGATCGACTATTAGATTTTACTGCCGGTCATTCGTAAAGCTTTGTGCCACTGCTCCCTCACCCTTTTTGACGCCACAGATTTTAACCCCTTGCCGTCATTTACTCCCGGGAAGCGGCTTCCATTCATAAAGCTTTATGCCATTGCTCCCTCCCCTTTTTTCACCTTTCAGCACACTGGGTACCTGTCAGACCCTCTCTGCTATAAATAACTGTTCTTTACTGTCGACACACCGTAACGGTGATTTTTTTCACTACAAGCCTAGTACAAGATTGTAAGTTTTTTTTTTCTTTTTTTCTCTGTGCTACAAGATTGACTTCTCGGTGCTGGGTGCATAAGTGATTCGTGAACATGAGTTGTCAGTCTTGCAATCTCTCTCTCTGCTAGACATTGGGCCCCTCGCTTCACTACCCACAAAATGTGCAAGATGAGAATGAATCTTCTGCTAGAACATGGAAAGATACACAGCCATATTTTTTGGCTTTTTGTGCACGTGGTGAGTAGTGGAGCGAGGCCCATTGAATTACCACTCGGCAGATTCCTGGGGGTGATTTTCTTTTTTTCTGATCAACAGTCGCCCAACCACCAACGTTTTCCATCATCCGCACAACCCACATCTCATTCAGGTAATCGTTCCACCCCACTAGAAAAACAAGCAGTACTAGTCCACTGCAATTCTAGTGGTTGTCACTGATTCTTTAGATCAACGGGTCAGATGATGTACTAGTCCACTGCAATTCTAGTGCAGTGCTGTCATTCAAACTGAAAAAAATAATACTTTCACACTTAACTGATGCATCCACAAGCACGACGCGTACTAGAGAGATTACACTAGTCCAGTGCAATTCTAGTGCACTGGTGTCGTACAAAGTGAAAACAAAAATACGTTCACACTCAACTGATGCATGGACAACCACGACGCGTACTCGAGAAAACACATCAACAATTATTAGGGCTAGGGGGGGGTAGGGGGAGGTGCAGTGACTGGCCATTGCTCGGCACTAGCACAGCCGATTTCCCCCATCGGCAATGCCTGCCCACCCCTCGTCACCGTGATGAGGGACTGGTACAGCCTTGCTCTCGCACCACAGCTGTGGTGCAAACCTACCCCGTGGGCTGGGGAGAGATCCGGGTTGGTTGGTGTTCCCCCGTACTATAAATAGACTAGTGAGCGGATGAGATAGATGCATACTACCAAGAAAAAGATGAAATAGATTGAGAGAAGAATATAGATTACTTAAAAAAAAAAAAAAAAAAAGTTCCCCCGTACTATAAATAGACTAGTGAGCGGATGAGATAGATGCATACTACCAAGAAAGATGAAATAGATTGAGAGAAGAATATAGATAATCTATGCTACCAGCAAAAAAAAAAAAAAAAAATTTTAAAAAAAAAAAAAAAAATTTTTATTAAAAAAAAAAAAAAAAAAAAAAAAAAAAAAAAAATCTTAACTGATGCATCTAATGCCGTTTACGTGAAGAATACGTACCCATTTAAAAAACATAATGTGTACTTGAGAACACAAAATGAACGAAAGGTAAGACTCAGTCCAAGATTAAAAAAAAAAAAAACAGCAAATAGAAAACACACTCGGGGAACAAAGCGGGCTCCCCGACTTGTTTCTCGATCGCAGTCCGTTTTCCTTTTTTTTTTTTTCCTCGAAAGAGCGACGGCCTTGAGATATCATCATCATTGAACTGACCGGCCCCAGGTTGGTAATTCAGAATGATTTTATTCTGGTCATCATCTGATTGTATCTGGATCCGAACCTGGGTGTGATTCACATTTCAACACTTCCTCCGGTTTTCCATCTTCCTCTCGGGGTTTCTTCCACCATCTCTTTCACTCCCACTAGGCGCACTTCAACAAACCCACCTCAGTTAATCACCGTCAACCTCCCTTAAACCACCAGTACTTCGTAAAGTCGTGCCCGGTAACAAGCCACGATTTTAGGAAATGTACGGGTCACTACAGGAGCGCCCAAATCCATCCAACTAGAAACGTTTCTAGTAACTTTCTACTCTAATTCTTTTCCATGGCCGATAGCTGGGCCAAGTATTGGTGGTTTAACCTCCTTTATACACCACTGACCTCCATTAACCTCCGAATACCCAAGGTAAAATCATCGGTCTCATGATTCTGGACATCCGTTAAAATTGGCACAATACAGAGAAAGAAGATTAGCATGGATATAGAGAACGAAGATTAGCATGGCCCCTGTGCAAGGATGACACACACAAATCGAGCATTTAAAACCAACAACGACAACAACATCGGTCCCGAAAAGGGACCTAGTGCATTTGGATTCTGGAACCAAGGCCTCAGAGATCCCATCCATCCATCCATCCATCCATCCATCGTACCTCTTCCACAGTGAGTTTGTTGAGCTCTAGTTCCTCTGCGTTCTCAAGTCGCTTGACATCTGCGAGACCACTTTCTTCCAGCACAGCAGCAATCTCCTTCTCCATGGCTGTTTTTGGCTGTGTCGATGCAAGACCAAGAAAAAGAAGAAACAAAAAAATGAAAAAAAAATGAAAAAAGAAGGGGGGGGGAGGGGAAACAAAAAAGAACAAACGTACAAACAAACAAAGTTTTAACAGAAAAGCAAAGAACGAACGAAACAGACCAACAAGACCAGGTTCAATTTTGAATAAACACAAGAGGGAGCCATGAGCAACACACTGGGCCCTGCAGTCCCAGGGACAAATTGACAACGCACAGTCTCAGGGGCAATTTGACAATCTGCAGTCCTGGGGTCAATTTGACCCAAAAAAATTCGCAGACGAGGGGCATGATTTGAAAATTTGCCGTCCCAGGGACAATTTTACAACTTGCAGTCCCAGGTACACACGACAGTCCCAGGGGTCAATTTGCACTTCCAGCCTTACAGGGACAGCTTTTTTTCAGCCCCGCTTGCTCTTGTTGCACCAATTCACCTTCCTGGGCCCATCAACATCTACGTCCATCCCATGTGGGCCTCCGCGGGCCTCCGAATCCTTCAACGGCGGCCGTTGTTGGGCCCGGACTACAGTATTTTAGTAGGATATTTATTATTTCGCCGGTTCTTTCTTTTTTTTTTTTTTTTTTTGAAGTAAGGTACTACATTCTTCTCTCGATTTCACCTCATGCTACCTACTTACCACTACTCCTAATTATAGTCATCATACGGGGAACCCCGTGGCAGCCAGAACCGTGTTCCCGAGAGAACACGAGGGGATTGCTCCCGACCTGGGCACCGGGCAGGGGACAGCCGGTTGCATCAGGGACCACCATGCCAACAGGACCAATCCCTGTGCCTCCCCTCAGGTGGTGCGCCCCCC